CTTCAATATGTCATGCCATCACCTTTTACATTTACCACATGCTTGCTTTCCTATCTAGCTTTAAAAATAGTGCAATAAATAATGTACACTATTTCCCTATTTAATTTCCAATTTCATTTCAGTAGACCTTTCAGTCATAATTGTTTGGGGTTTTTTTGGTACCAGGGATCGAACTCAGGACCTTGGGCTTGCGAGGCAGGCGCCAGAACCACTGAGCTAAATCCCCCCCCTTTTAGTCATAATTGAAGACACTTTTACTTCTTATTTTTAAAGACTGTGCTGTATTAGAGTTACATGTGAGACTGTTATGAAACATGGTAATCCTGGGTGTATGTAAGTGTCCATGGACATCGTACAGTGGAAAGGAATCCTGCAATGGATCCTTTTGTTCAGAAATTTATTCTTTAATTAAGAAATCAATTATCTTTTCTTTCAAAATTCAGTATAGGATTTGACATTTGACATTCACTAAAAAGTTTCAAGCTGAGGGTTCTCAGTTTATCTTCTCTCCTGCTCCTACAATGATAGTTTTTTTTTTTTGAATCACACTACAAAACTGTTGTCTTCATGTGGGCAAATGTAGACTTAGACATGGCTTAGCCTGTAAAAGCACACAAACAATCTACTTATTTTTGCAATGTGATTTATCAAACCGTTTCTTTGTTTTTCCATTAAGTTTATTGGTAAATTTTAGGTACACAATATAGTTACATTCATTACTGGGATCTTGTACCTTTACATAATGAATCTTGGTTCTTATTTTTTCCCCATACCCCTGCCCTCCCTTTAACCCCTCCACCCCTCCCTATTCACAAAGACTTTGTTTCCATTTTTTCCTTTTCTCATATTTTTTCTTTTCCCTTCTTTCCTTTCCCCTACCCCTCCCACTTCCCCTACTCCTTTAGACCTTTTCTTTCTATTTCACAATATAAATTATATATTTTAATCCTTATTTACACTTTCAGTTTCTCACACCAGAGAAACTATTTGGTGTTTACACATTTGTGTCCTATTTATTTCACTTAAGAGTATGGCCTCAATGTGCATCCATTTAGCTAGAGATGTCTCTAGTTTCTCTCAAACTGTTTCTTTTCCTTTATATTAAGCACTAAAGGAATTTGATCTGCCAAATTCTAATGCTGGCACAAATTGGGACTTAATGGAATGTTTGTAAAATGACTGAATCAATAAATAAGAATTTTAGAGCCTAAAAAAACCTTGGGGTTTTTAAATAAACACACTAATAAAATTTCTTCTCCTTCCTTGCAAATCTAAACATAACATTATACTAACTATATGTAAATCGAGGGCTTTGGGATCAAAGAAAAGACCATTCATATGAATGCTTTCAAATTAAATTATGCACAAATCAAGTTTATTTTATCCTCTGTAAACTAACTCAGATGTGCAAGGTCACCCAGCACACAGGTAGCCTGAGTTCTACATGAATTGGACTTTGTCTTATCTCTTACCAGTGCTTCTGAAATTTAATGTGCACATGAATCTCCAATGTTGAATAAGGTCACCATCATCATAGGAAAAGAACCAGTGAAATCCAAGGATAATTATTTGTAAACCTTATCAAACTTTAGTTTGAGCTCAGAAATCTCATGTCTCTGCTTTTCTGCAAAATTCGCTTATCTAATTTCAGCCTGCCTCCTTTGGAGATGATTCTCTTATGCTCACAAGCCTTTGTCTTTGAGTGAATCTATGAACTTGAAAATAACACTAAATAATAACAACATAATAAGTGAACTCAGTTGGAAAAGTTTGAATTTTTTCAGGGGTAGTTTGAATTTTAGCTGAATTGGTTTATCTATCCTCAGAGATTAGATACCAAGAGAATTACTGACTTAAACGAAGAAGAAATTTAAGGTATTTCTATTAAGTTACATGAGGCCTAAAGAAAACTGATTTGGGGGGGGGAATTCTAAAAATTATGCACACACACTGGTAAATGTGAAAGCAATGGAAATTTGATGGAGAGGATAGTGGCAAAATTCCTCCATTCTCAGGCCTGAGAAGGGCTTTTGTTTGAGAGAGGAATTTGGTAGCTTTCTCTAGGGGTAGGAAGCAGTCATTCATTATGGCAGCTCAGAATGCCACCTATTTAGTAGAGTGTCCTTATCCTATCAGTTGTACCTCTAAGAACAATGGTAATGCTAATGACAAAAATGACATTAATTATGTATTATTATGTACCATACACATTGCTCCATATGAATTAAGTAATTTTAATCTCCATGTAGTAATCACATGAGATAGGAATATTTGTAGTCTATTTTATAGTCAAGAAGACAGTCTTAGTGAGATCAATTAACTTGTACAACATCACACAGCTCATAAATGACAGAGTTAGAACTTGAACAAAGACCTGTCTGATTTCAAAGCCCATATGCCTACAAATATAATAAAAATCAGGGGCTAGGGATTTAGCTCAGTGGTGACACCACCTGCCTCGCAAGCACAAGGTCCCAAGTTTGATCCCTATACACTCCCCCGCAAAAAATCAGTGAGAAATACTAAACTCATATAAAGACTTTGGAAACAATAGAATGATATAGTTAAAGGTGTGTGTGTGTGTGTGTGCGTGTGTGTGTGTATGTGTATTCTGAGATTTGGCTTAAAAGGTCTCTATTTTAAATTAAATGATTGAATGTTGGAACTGTCTTTTTTCTACTGCTAGTCTAAAATATTTCAAAGTAATCATGTTTATAAGTCAATAAAGATCTCTATCTTCCAATTTGAACATTCAAATTTGAATATCCTCAAATTAAGCATTATCTTTTAGATTAGGTTCATGGAGAGAAAAAGCTCACAATAATAGGACAACCAGGGAGGAAATGTTTGCAACATGTAAAACCAAGAGTGAACATCACTAGTATATAGGGAGCTCCTGAAAATTAATTAAGACCAGGATAAATAACTCAAAAGAAAAGCAGCTTAAGAATACAAACAGCTGATTCTCAGAAAAGGAAGTACAAAGTTACAGAAGAAGCTTAACTCACTGACAAATAAGTTCACTAATCAGTAAATAAATAAAACCTACTCATCTAGCAGATTGGTACATTTTTTAGAAAGCAATTTTAGGGTTAAAATATGCCTTATTCTTTGACCTAATAGTGCCCCCTCTACAATCTATCCCATTAATTTAAAAATGGTCACTTATATAATTCTATGCCACAATAAAAACTGGAAATAACTTATAAATTGTGTGTACAAAATATATTTGAATTGAGGAAAAGCCAGGTTCAGGTGATATTTGTAACCTGCTTCTACTGTTTTAACATGTATATTTTATTATTTTTAAATGTAAGTGAATGTACAGATAGGTGGATAGGGAGATGTCAGTGTAATTTAGGAAAATGTTGGGAAGGATGTACACCAGATCGTCAAATTGTAAGATAAGATAAAATGAGCATAGACAGGATTTTACTACTTTACTTTACTTTTTATTTATTTATTTATTTTGGTACTGGGGGTCGCACTCAGGACCTTGTGCTTGCAAGGCAGGCATGGTGCCACTGAGCTACATCCCTGGCCTTTTATTTTTATTTTTTAAAGTTTTGGGATTAAAAGTACATTCTGCTTTTGATAGTGATGGTGTTTCATAAAATTATTACTAAAGAAGGAGATAATCATCTGTCTTGATTAATTATGAACATTAAATTGTACTATCTGGTATTTTTCATGATATATTTCATAAACTAGTACAAAGATATTGGAAACATATGGCAGGCCCTTTAAAATTTTTATTTATTGCAAAAGGTGAAAGTATAAATTTTTAAATTATATAGATAAAGAAGAAATAAATAAAATTACTTAAAACTCTCACAATCTTCACAATGAAGTAGAATAGTACTACCTTATTATATAATAGTCCTTACAGCCTGTTTTATTTCAATTATACAAAACTTTTAGTAATTTGCAAAAGCAATGGTGCCATGAATCAATTACCCAGTAGTAATTTTCTAGTTTTTTCCTTATGCATATATTTATGCTCTTTTAAAAAACTGGTAGTCTTAACATGTGCCCACACAAAAGCTTGTACACAAATGTTTACAGCAGCATTATTCATAATAGTCCCAAAGTGAAAACAATCCAAAGGTATATTAATTGATAAATGGATAAACAAAATGTGGTATCTCCATACAGTAAAATGATAGTTGGCAAAAAATGAAGTACTGTTGCATGCTGTGACATGGATGAATATTATTCAAAGTGAAAGAAATCAGTTACAACATATTGTAGATTGCATGTTCTCATTTGTATGAAATGTCCAAACTGTCAAATATCGATAGAGAGAAAAATTAAATTAGTGGTTGCTTGGGGCTTTGGGAGAGGGTAAGTGTTAAGAAATGACTTCTAATGGGTACACAGTTTCTTTTGGGGTTAATGAAAATGTCTTAACATTAGGTCATGATGATTATTGCACAACTCTGTAATTACACTCAGGACCAATTTATCTTTCAGTGGGTAAATTTTTATGGTATGTGTATTACATCTCAGTAAGTTTTCAAAAAGTTTTCTCTTTCAAAAAGTTTTCTGGAGCTGGCACACAGCTGTAATCCCAGTACTCTGGAAGGCAGAGGTAAGAGGGTAGCAAGTTTTAGGCCAGCCTGAGCAATTTAGTGATTAAGAGAGACTTTGTCTCAAAAAAGAAAGAAAGAAAAAGAAAGAGAAACGGCTGGGCATGCAGCTTAGTGTGGAGGCCCTAAATTCAATCTCCAGTACTGGGGATGGGGGAAGTCTTATAGGAGTACTTTATTTCAATAGTAGAAGCTGTACAGGAGAAGAGTTTAGACAGCTGACTTTTGCCTTTTGTGGTCCCATTCTCCCTATATTTTTGTGCTCGTCACATTTAACCTGAGGAAGAATCTTGCTCGACTGCAGTTATTTTCATATAGAATTTTCCCCACTTTCAATGTAGTTTGGACCTACTATTTAATTGATACTCAGGAGCCCACAAATGAAAATAAGATTGAAGCAGCAGTACCCACCTTCAATAATATGCTTTCTTGACAACCCTCTTTCTGTTTCAGCTCTGTAAGGAAAGGGAGATAAATGACTCTGAGCGGAGGTGTGCATTTCAAAAAATCTTGTCTCAAAATGCAGAATAATAGTCATTCTTACTTAATCTGAATTGCTCATTTAATAGCCTGTTTTAGGCAAACTCCATACCACTGGATGCTGAGGAGAGAAAGTGAATGGGCAACATACTGAGCAATCCCCTTTTCTTTAGGGACCCATGAGATGAATTAAGCATGACAGTCACCATAGCACTAATATCACTCAGCTCTAGGTTCAGGTTAAAAACTCACCCACATGCTCCCTCTCTGTAAATAATTTGACACAGTCCTAAACCACCTCACCTTGTTCTTACCCAGTGTAAAGAAGAAAAAAGTGTTACATAAGTTTGTGAGTTTACTAAAGATGACCAGCCTGCTGAGATCATTAATTTATCTGACAAAGGAAGCAAATTTGAAAGTGCCTTTGACTCCCAAAGAAATTTAGCAACTATTTTCCCCTAAAATGTGATGAACCAAGTTTTTCTTAAATTAGTACTCTAAGAAGACAAACCTTTAGTTAGTTTTGGCCTCCCTGACACATGCCAAACTCTGAACAATTGGAATTGTTGAATTTTATTTTATTTTTAATTTTTATTTTTTTTCATACTGGGGATCAAACTCGGGACCTTGCACTTGGAGGCAGGCGGCGGAATCACTGAGCTAAATCCCCTGTCCTGTTGAATTTTAAAGTACAGATGAAATGTTTCTTCAGCATCAATACTTTTAGCAGCCTCTATTTAAAATATAGCAGTTTACTATTCACTTTTGTGAATATGTCCATATTCTGTATTTTCATAAATATGTTAGATAATATTGCATGTAGCACTCTACTTGCAGCTTGGTTCATTTCCTGTTTATTCATATGCTGTGGGCATGGTTTTGTGCACTGCTGCAAAAGTAACAAGCAATGGCACAGTGAGTCAGAGGACAGACAATGAAAATCCTTATGTTGCCTTATTTATTTATTTTTTGGTTCTGGGGATCGAACTCAGGTCCTTGCGCTTGTGAAGCAGGCAGCAGCACCACTGAGCTAAATCCCCAGCCCGGTTGCTTTATTTTTTACACTAGGGAATAAAAATCTAAATTCCATCTTTCTGTCTTCATATCATCACTAACAGCCTCAAGAAAAACTATAAAATTAAGTGTGTGTGTATGTGTGTGTGCACATATACATTGTAATCAGAAGGTTTCTAAAGAAAGGCTTCTGCTTCTTTTTTGTATACTATTTCCTATCAATTATAGGGAAGTAATAAGATGTGCTTGTTTAGTTCCATTTTTGTTAAGACTGTAGCATTTTTTGAGATTTCCATGCAAAGCATAGTGCCAATCATTGCTCTGGTGTATAGAATAGCTTGCAGTTTTCTTACATGTTTGTCAAAAAGTCCAGCCTTCTGGTTCTTGTTGAATAAAGTACGTACCAGTTCAAACATTGGCAGACAGGCCCATCAGAAACTAACTCAGCTTGTGAAATATGTTCTGCGTTCCACAGCAGAGAAAGGACCTCTCTTTCAATGGCCTGACAGTGAGTGATACAGGTATAGCTTCCTGTTATTCTCCAATGAGATAATTCTTTGGATCAGCACTTTGAGAGCCCTTTGCAGAAATGATCAGAGACTTAATGGAGTCAGACAAGATATTTTTATCTTTGTGTTCTGCAGAAGTCTCTGGGGTTTGGCAGATTTGAGTAGCTTTTCTTCTGTGATGCTTTTTGCTTATTTTCTTTTCCTGAAATTTGAACTCTATTTTGGAAATCATTCTAAATTTGACACTGATATTTAAAAAATCTACACAAATCACTTAGTAACAAGTAGCCTCACACAAACTTTTTTGGAGTATCTTGCTAAAATTCAATCCTGGGCTAATTGCTGTTTCCTTAGCATAAGAAAAATAAATTCACTTCTCTAAGTCAATTAATTTTAGTATAAGTTAGATGTAAAATAGTTGCTATAATGGATCAAAGCCTGAATTATGGGTTGTTTCTTATCCAGCAGGGAAAATAAAAGGTATTTAACTTACTTTCCACCCCAGTAGAGCTTAGTTGTTATGACGAGGCTGGATCTCCTGCATGTCAGACAAACACAGAATTAGTAAACATGCTGCAAGTTATTGGGCTGAATCACATTATCACTATAGCACCAGAAAGAATTTGTTATTGTACCTCACATTTTAAAGAACCTATTCATGTCACTGAAATGTAAAGGTAAAGGGAAGCCAGTGAGCACTGACTTAAAATCAGACCCCAGAGGAAGGGGATGAAGAGAAGCATCTCTACCTGGAGCTGCAGGAGGAGGAGGGTGGCAGTGGCAGCAAGCCCTGAGTGGTGATGCAAAGGGCAACTGAGGGTAGGTTGGTTTGAAGGGTCAGAAATGTACAGGAAAATATAAGTGAAAGGACTGAAAGGATACATTGCTTCAGCAGATCACATGAGAAACCACTAATTAGCACTTATTTAGTGTCTGGCGTAATGTTGACAGCCTGTGAACTTGTCCTGGGAGAAAGTCCTCTCTGCCAAGGACCACAGACTCTTGTTGCTCGGAGTTATTTTCCTCTCCAAGCACCACAGTCACAGGCAAGAACTGACCACATAGAGATATGAGTGATGAGGTGAAGTCTGAAAGTCAATAAATATTTTCTTTGAGTGTCTTATTAAAAAAAAATGTCATTTTAAGAAAATAGTTCTAAAATCTTTAACTCATGGTTCTACCACTTTACCTATAAGAAAATTAAATGTGAAAATCTTGTCAACAAGCTTGTTACCTTCTCAAGACCACACCCAAGGGCAGAAATGCAGTTGCAGTGTTATGACCATGGAATAAAAATATGTCTTGAGAACCACAGGCATGTAATTTAATCGGGAGGCAGAGCTCAGTGTAATTTAGTTTCTCTAGGTATGTAATTCAATTGAACTAGTCTAAAGAAAAATCATTTGAGATTCAAAGGTTAAGACCAAACTTTGGGATTATTTCAAATAAAACATTTATAATTCTATCAGCAGTGGAATCGATGCCTTGAGAGGCTCAGCGTGATTAATGATAACCAATGGGGAATGACAGTGACAGTTCTGACAACTTGGTTACAACAAGAAAAATTTGTTGCAAATGTCAGCAACCCCATCCTACTGAAGATAATTCCCTGAAGAGTAATTTGAGGCATGGTAATGGAACAGATATATGCACCTGGAGATTACACACCTCAAAAGGGCTGATGAAGTTTCTGGGCTAATCCATCAACCTCTTGATACCTGTTATAATAGCACTTTGCCACAGGAGACCCAGATCTCCTTTCACAAACACTTTCCACCTTCAGTAAAAAGCTGGATGGAGTATTATTAAAAACAAATGAAGCTTTTCCATCATTCAGAGCAGTTAGGGCTGCCAAAGATTCATATTCTATCCAAACACCACCACACACTTATTTCTCCAAAGTTAGGCTTTCTGCAAAATGTTTGGCCTATGTAGTGTGCACGTTAACATTTGTATTCACCTAGGAAGGGTAGGCAGCAGCCAGGTAAATTATCACTGACTCTCATGGGGGTTGAGTGCCTCTTTGGAGCGGATCGAGAATGGTAATGTGAGTGTTATACAGTGACATAGCACAGTCTTCAATAGGTTTTGAACACCTTACTCATTTTGTTAGCACAACACTTCATGAACAGTTATGTTTTGCATTTTTTAGGTAAGGAGATTGAGAATCAGAAAAGTGAAGTAACTTGCTCTGGATAAAGCAGCTAGCAAGTTGTAGCACCAGGATAAGAAGTCCTTGTGTGGTAGTTTAAATAGCTTTAGGGGCTCAGTGCTAGGATGATATAGTTTATCTTTTCACCAGTCTTCTGTGGCCACTGTGAACTGATGTAAACATTCAGTACTATGGTGATAGCTCGAGCCTATTTGCAAGACTGAAAGGCAGCTTGTGAAATATCCATGTTAGTCTATTTTCCACAGAAGATATGGGTAATCGGTTCTGTAATTATGAAGAGTGATGATTAAATGTTTGCTGGGTATTGAGGGGGAAAAGAGCCACTGTACACAGGAAGTAGATGCCTCCTCTTGTTCCTCAGGTAGCCTGCACCTCACTTCACGGCTCCCTGCACTGTTAGTGGGCTTATCTCCAAAGTTTTTATTTAAGATTGAATTGTGCCTCTCTCCAAGAAGTACTAATCCCCACTACAAGAGTACTAACCCCCAGTACCTAAGAATGTGAGCTTAATTGTAAATAAGGCCATGCGGATGTAACTCATTATGTTAAGATAACATCATTTTGGAACAGAGTGGGCCCCAAGTCCAATATGACTGGTGTTCTTACAAGAAGAGACATAGACACAAAGGAGCAGAATGCTGTGCTGGAACAGAGGCAGAGGGTGAGGTGCTGCAGCTGCAAGCCGAGGAATAATGAGGATAGCTAAGGATTGCTGGTCACCACTGGAAGCAAGGGAGGGCAAGGGAAGACTTTATGTAGCATCTCAGAGGGAGCATGGCCATGCCCACACCTTGATTTGTGACTTCTGGCCTCCAGAACTGTACAAGAATAAACTTCTGTTGTTTAAGTGTCCCAATTTGTGGTGCTTGGTTGCAGCAGCCCTCAGAAACTGATGCAGCTTCTCTGCAGGCGGGGTGGATGGACCTGCAGTCTGAGTGGGACAGTATCTTGCGCAAGGTGGAGGACTGGGTGGAGACTGAATATTTTTCCATATTTAAGGTAGAGTACAGTTTTTTCTTAATGCTCCCCAGGGTTGGGGAATGGAGAGGAAGAAGTAGGTCACTAAATTTTCTTTGTTCAGATCTCCAAAAATGTCTCATTTTCCATTCCCACCAGGCCCTCTATTCCTACCAAGCATTTATCTCAGAGTGAGAAGCAAGCAACTCTGAAAATACAGGGGCTTTGGTTTCACCCTTCTAGTTTCTCCTCCCAGAGGAAGTTTAAATGGCATCTATAGAGCTATAATACCAGCAATATTGACCTGTACCCTTTGAGAATGTCCATGTTTCCTAAGCTAAATTTTAAAAAGTATAAGCATGAGTACAAAGCTTTGTGCACAGTTTTCTTAACTAATACTAGAGAGCTCTTATTTATTTGGCCCCAGCAAACATTCTAGTGCAGAGAGGTCCTGAAGCTTGTACAATGGGCTTTGTCTCATTCTGTGCCCTTGAGAAGAAGTGGCTATGGTGACTGACATGCCCTATGAAATGTAGGGGTATTGTTCCCCACCCTCACAAGAGGTCACTGCCACTTGCTTTGGCTACAGAAAGTGATGGCATAGGATAGGTAAGCATATTCCTTGAATTTCTTGGATGACCTCCTCAAAGATAGCAGCACTTTTTTGGATACCTAGATAATAGGGCTCCCAGGCACACAGGACAGACGCTAGCTGATTATATTCAGACAAGAAAGTTTGCAGGTGTTTATCCCAAGAGCTTCCTGTTTCATCATTTCTTTGCATCCACTGTTGCTAATAAAATAAATGATGAACGTCAATTTGTGTGTATAAATAATCAGCCTCCTGAAGCTTTCTTCCTTCACCAAATTACCACAAAGGGTAGTCAAAGCTATGAAAATGTCACTTTATTTTATGCACAAATATCTCATGAAGATTCCTTCTTTCTTTGCTCAACATCATAACAATTCATTGTGATCAATAACTGGTCAATAATTTTTGAAGCACAAGTAATGCAAACAAACAGTTATGATAATGTGATACCTCCAGCCTTTCTTCTTGATGATACTCCCCAGAATCACCTCAGCCCTGGAAGGAGAAACAGATAACACATTGGGTTGCAATATCCTGGAAAAGGAAGAGTCAACTCAAACTCCAGAGCCATTCCTAGTTAGAACTCTCAGTGCCTACATATCCCGAAAATAGAAGCTGCTCTCCACTGGTAGCAGTTTCCGCTCTTTGTTCTTGTGCCTGCAGAATCCTGCTCCGGAGCATTCCAGAAGCACCTGCCAAATCCTGACATGCTGGCAGGAGACTGCCTGCAGTTCTGATACTAAGAAACAGCAGAGTCATTTGGCAGTTTGGTATTTTTGAACCACTGATCCCATATATAGATGTCCTGCGTGGTGGTATGAACTGGGAGTCAAGGTTTTCCTTCCAATTGCTGCAGAACAATTCAGTTGTGACCAAGGAAGACAAGGAAACCTCACATTGTTTAGACAGAAAATATTGACCCCCAGGCGACCTTGAGGACAAACAAAGAATCGTTGCAGGGGTTAGAAGTCCCCAAGGCCAGGACTGAAGATGCAGTGATCCACAGGAGAATGTCCTGGGCTCCAGTAACCAACTTTGTGATAGGAGCAAGATACTGTATAAGGAGACATAAGAAAATATTTTTTCTGTCCCTAAGGCTGTGTGGTGGAGAGCTGTACTAAAGACATCACACTTTCCTGTCTCCATCCACCTCAACCTGAAACCCAAGATTGAAGAAACAAACTCACTCTGTCCCTCCCAGTGAGCCCTCATTGTGAGAAGCAGCTGGGCTCTCAGAGGCTTGTGAATGGGGAGGTCAGCGAAGTTAGCACTTCCTTTAGTGTGCTATAGATGGGAGTCAGCATTAATTGTTACTTGTCCTAACTGAAAGATCTGTCTTTTTTAGAGGGTACAGCTTGCAATAAATCATGACGCAGATTAGCTATGAAGTATTTCCCAAATGGACAGGCATTGAATGTTACTGGTGTTCTTTGTATTACTTCCTTTCTTTTTTTTTTTTTTCTGTCTTTTTATTTATTTATTTATTTATTTATTTATTTATTTATTTATTTATTTATTTTTATTCTTTTGGTACCGGGGATGGAACTCTGGTCCTTGCTCTTGAAAGGCAGGTGGCAGAACCACTGAGTTAAATCCCTGGCCCTTTTTTTTGGTCTTTTTGACCACTGTCATTTGCAACCTTGCATTTCACCTTATCTCAGTTACATACTGTAATCAGTCCATAATCAAAATGATGATGCCTCGCAGTGGGAATGCAAACAGGACCCTGGCAGACTTCCTGCTCATTCCTCCTTTTTTCTACCCTATCCCATCTTATACTAAGCAGGATTCAACAAGGATGAAAACAGTGGGAGGGGGCAGGGGGGTAGAAAGAGCAAGGCTTTATAAACTTTTACTTTTTCTCCTTGAAGTCAAGAGAAAACAGCAGAGATGTGGGCTTTGAGCCTCCTTGGTGGTTCTTAAACTTCAACCTAACCTTGAAAAGGAGGAAACTACGCAAGAAAATTGCACTTAGACCACTGGATAAGGAACTGATTTGGCAGGTCCAGTAGTCTGATTATAATTCTTCCCTGCAGGAAGGGAATTAGGCTGTAGGTGATTGTGTTCCACAGCCCTTTCAGGGAACTGCAGAGCTGCTCAAACAGCTTTCCAGCTATCTGTTTCCTCTGGTTACAGGAGGTGTATGTGTATGTTCACTCCAGGAGGCCAGGACCCTGTATGTATTCTGAAATGTGCTGGATGGGAGGCCTAGCCCATCACCCACATGTTCGCTGTCCTAGAGCCCCAGACCTGCACTCCATTCCAAGGGGAGGCTCAGCCAGATGAGCTTCCTTCCCCATGTAAAATGTGTAAGGCCTCCCTGACACCTTCTCTGTCCTCAGAATGGGCTCTGAAATATCTTTTTATAAAAGCTATTGATACCTTGGCCTCTTTGGGGATCCCACCTTATGTCTGATCTGCCTGGAATGCTCTTGTAGGGATAGGCGGGCACACAGAAGAGTAGTCCTTGCTTCCCTGCAAGGAGAATGTCCCAGTTCCACTGGGGGCTTGAGCAGCTACGGGATACAGTTATGAAACAATGGGATAACTTGAAAAACCATCTAGATCATTGCCCATTCATTTTCTTACTCATATATTCAACTAACATTGATTAATCTTTGCTACTACCGCACCGGCACCAGCCACCTCTGCCCATCACGTAGCTGGCAGTTGCTTATTGGCCCTTCCTCCCTCCAGTGCATTTTTCATACAGAGATGGACTGAGTGGACAGAGGGAGCCAGATATGGTCAACATCCTTTCTGCTAGTGATGTGAAGAGGGTGGGGAGGAGCAGTGCCACAGGCCTGTGGGCAAGGGCATTTGCCTCTTCCTACCAGTGTCTCTCAGAAATGTCTGGGCAGACTCTCTTGGTTCCACAGACACCACCGAAGTGACAAAACAGGTATTAACTTACTTTCCAGCTGCATAGACCTCGGCAGTATCAAAGAGGTTAACGCCACTTTCATAGGCAATGGTCATCAGCCGTTCAGCAACCTGCAAGGGGAGGCAGAGGTCACACAGAAATGCCACATGGTCTCCAAACCCAAGAAGCACTTTGAAATCATTTAATGGCCTTAAAGGGTGCTGAAATCTCACTAGTACTTCTTGCTTTTCTCAATTGTTGGGAAAAGAGGAAAAAGAAGCCTCAAGCACTTGGGCTTACTGCCCTCAGTCACAGAGCGGGCAGTCATCTCCCTTCACCGCTGGGATCGTCTGCCCTTAGAGCACCGGGGAGGTGGACAGGTTCTGGTTTCCCACTTTTCCGGGAAGGTCTCATTTGACAACATTCCCAATGGTACCTAATCTCTCTAAAAAGAGTTACTTGTGTCACTGGTGATACAATTCCTCAACTCCTTTTTCTAAGCCAATAGATTTTGGCAGCTGGATGACTCCTGACCTGAACCTTGTGATTTTTGCTTAGCAAAAGGCTTAGCAGACTGTGTTAGAGGGAGCCATTACTGTCATAAAACTCTGGCCACCCACATTCAGCCAAGTCCCAGGTACCGTCAATAAGTGACTGCTGAACCAAGCGCCTTGATTTACCGGGGATCCAGCTCCTCAGTTTGCTCAGCCCGCAAACTGATTCCTTAGCTCCTTGTCCTATCCTCTGTGCTGCTGCACACTCATGGTGAGTGTGACAGAAGAGTGGAGCCATAGCTATAAACCCTAGCTTGAGTGACAGCTTTAGAGAAATAGTGGTAAACAACGATGGAGAAGGGCCATTTTTTCATTTTGCTGGTTCATGTATCAGTTGTTTGAAAAATTACAATCTTCACAAATAATTAAAATTGATTTCCCCTTTGTTTTTTGATGGTAGGCTAAACCTGCTTCAACAGCATTTCCAAGGCAAACTATTTTTCTGTTGTATTGGAAATTGGCTTATCAAGAAATTTGTTAGGCTAGCAAAATGGAATCAATGCAGATTCTTTCGCATAATAGTAGCAAAAATGCTATTATCACTTTTAATTTGCCACTATTATAACATTTACCCTAATTTGCCACTATTACAACATTTAACCTAACTAAAACTTAAGACAAATATAGTTTTTCCCATTATAATTGTATTATCTTTTAAAATGACTGTGCTTACACTGTATGTTATCCTTGTGCCATGTCATGACTTATTGGTGGGCTACTACTGGGTAATGCACACAGTTAAATCTTATCAAGGGAGAGAAATTGTAAGGTGGAGAATCCAGGTTGGACACTTGGACTAACTGACGGTGGAGCTATTTCCCAATCATAGGATCTGAAGGCCTGAATATGGAATGATGAAAAAGAAAATCACTGAACTAAATCTGAAGATTGGTTTCAGCCCTTGATGTCCCCTTGCTAGACAAACTTGGGCAAATAATTTGAGCTCAATATTTCAGTTTCCTCATCTGAAAAATAGGAATGATTCTGTCGAGGGATTTCCTCCTCTCCATGGAACCTGAAGGCCTCAGGGGAAACTGATCTCACTTCTTCCAATGGGGGTCTGATGGGCCTAAAGCCAGGGGTTCAGGAAGGGTCTCATGACACACGTGGCCAATGAAACATGTGAGAGAAAGAGAACTTCTGGATTCACTTTTTTCTTGCCCTTCTTACAGAATTTCTGGAAGCAACACTCTTCTGGAGTTGCTATTCTAATTGAGGCCTGGAATTCCTGAAGATCTTCCATTCTTACTACCCCAAGAAGAAGTTGATACTCAGAGCACAGAAGTGAAAGAATGGCTGGGCAATGGCATAGGTCAGGGGTCACTGAAGCCCACTGTACTCCACATGTCTAGTTTAAAAGTCAAAATAGTTTTCCTCTTATTGGTTAAGCTGATTTGGGTAGGGTTTATTGGTATTTGCAATTTAAATTGCCCTAATTACCTGACAGATGAGAGAATATGAAATGAAACTGAAAAAGTAAGTGTTTAAGATGCTGATATACACTCATCATTACTTTTAAGAAGTTATTATTCATATGAGCAACATCTATCTAGGTTCTATGATGAAGCCCAATCACCTTTGAGAGTCACCTTGCAGAGTTACTTAGTTTGGTAATATCCCTGCCAAGGGATTATTCCATATACTGTTGAACTCTTCCAGGGACAGGCACATCACCACCTCCTGAGGCAGTGTTGATAACTGCATCATTTGGCACACTATATAGTGTGGCCATGTATGTTGAGTTGCTCTGTAGTTGGAGAGAAAGCAGGAAAATATGAGGAAGTGAAGTTGTTGCTACTGACTCACATTTTTACCCCACTGACACACTGACAGTAGCTGAGCTTTAGCAACTCAACCATCAGTGAGACTGGGTTAAGCTGTCTCCTCTCCCTTGCTGGCAGTCTCTCTGCAGGGACCTGGGGAAAGCTGCAGGCACTCTCTAGGAGGACTGGTAGCTATCTGACTGGTGTGCATCTGAGGAGAGTGCCTCTGTAGTCATTCCTGACAACTTTGTTGCACAGTGTTGAAAATGGGAGTTTTGAAATGATTCATCTCAGAGGTCATCCCTGTACCCTGACCTGGGGGAGCTGGGCTCATTGCAGCAAAATGTAGATGCTGTGAAAGGGAGAACAAAACCTGGGGAAAATGGGACATTGGTCCCTCTGCTCCCAAAGGGAACCTATTTTTGCCCTTTTCCCCTCCAGGCACCATGTCAGGCAGTATTAGGTTATGTACTTGTTGCAGCCAGTGGATTATTAACTTTAGACCTTCCTGTCTCTTTGGTATCTGACTTAAAGTCTGTGGCCTTTGCTCTGATCCCCATAGATTTGCCTCTGTGCTTCCTCCACACTTCTCTATCTGATGTCAATCACACCCATGCAGTAGCCTCTGTGAGGTGCCACCTGGCTCTTCCTTCAGGAAGGAAAGACTCATTCCTTGACCACCAGGAAGGATGCCCTCAACTGGCCTTTGGTGGTCAGCCCTGTCTATGAACTGTACTTGTCTAGGTCAGTGTCTATCCATGACTGGTCAGTATAGGAGTATAAAGATCCAGTTCTTGTTCCTCACCTTGGACAACACTGAAGGACTATCCTCAGTCTCAGAGCTCCCCATGGGGTTGGCCGAGGTCTTTGATGAGATAGATCACAGCCCATCTTCTCACTCTGCCGGATCATGTTTCGTTCTCTATTTTGCTGATCTTGAGGACATTTCCTAGTAACTGGCCTGCATGCTAACCTCTAACTCAGAGTCTGCTTCCCAGGGAGCCCAACAGAGATTCATGCCCTCTACACAATGATCTATGCTCTAGCAGTGGGAACAGGCATTTAGATAGATCAGAACAAGCACTTAAGACCTCTCCCTTAGATTTGAAAATTACACTTGTGACTTTGGGAACTGTGGGTGAAGCCTCCATTGCCCAAGCATCTTCTTAGGAACGATACTGTCATAAGAACTGTCTCTGCAGAGTGTCCATTCTGGGACAGCAGACTGAGCATTTTATAGGCAAAATCTCATTAATCTTAACCAGATCCTGTTGAGCAGAACCACTTAATGATGTGTCAACTGTTAATAAAAGGAAATGTTGGTAAATCAAGTTCATTAGTGACAGAGGGGTATTGGATCCTGCTGAGAGGATCCACTCAGATATACTATCCCTGCTTCTGCAGTGTAGTAGTCTTGCAGGTAGGCAAGGAAGGATCAGAGCAACTCAACAGCACTGCCCTCAGGGAAATTTTTGCCCTTTCAATGCCTGCATATCTCATTTATGGCATGAAGGAATTTGCTAAGCACTGCTTCAAACATGTGAACAATGATCTAAAGGCATTTTGTAATAAAGGTCATGATTATACTGGGCATTTGCTGAGTATTTGCTATCTCATACTAAGAGGGCTACATAAATGTCTGATATGCATGGCAATGTCAGGAGTATTATCCATTTTACACAGGGGAAGTTGAGGCTCAGAGAGGATGGAACAACTTGCCCAAATCAGGGTGACTGACTGTGCCCAGGACTGAGAGCTTCTTTGAGATGGGCAATCAGTGCTAAAACTAAATTACAAATAAATAAACAAATAGGAAGTAAAAAGAAATAAATAAAACAAAATAATACAACTACAGCAATAAAATCTTTGAATAAAGTTTCATTCAAAACTGTTTTAGTCTCTAACAGTTGAACCTGCACATATAATAGATTGACAGTCTCAAGAGCTATTAATAGTCTAAATGTGAAAAATACAAGAAGCAAGATAAAATTGAGCATAATCTTGGAGTCAGTCTTAACTCTGTGCTGTGATAGAAATTCTGTCCCTGTGAAATGTCAGGGTCCCAGGCACAGAATTCTTACTGCACAGCTCTTTCTGCACTTTCTTTTCACCAGCACAGTAGAAACTAAAAGTAACTTACCTCATCTGAAATTTGACCTCCAAATGTCACCCATGTTCCTAGAAAAGAATATATATTTGAACATTACTCAACCATTTTTCTAACATTGAACATAGTAAGACAAAACTCTTTTGGAGGAGCAGAGCCACCCCAAGCACCGATGAGGAGCCTTTCAGTCTGCCATACCACCCATGCCCAGTGCGAGGAGATGAGCCACATGGGCACCGGTAGCACAGCACCCCCCATTGAAATGAGAAGACATGTAAACAAGTTTCAAAACCAGACTTCCAGACCACATGAAGCAACCCCAAGGGGCAATGAGATGGAACACTCTGATACTCAACCACCTAGACTCCCTGAATTGGCAACAAAAGAGGATCTGGAAAAAATAAAATCAGAAATAATTTCTCAGATAACAGCAAAGATTGTGCCCATATTGCAAGACATGATTAATAAATCTAGAGAGGACACAGATAAAAAATACAGGAGCTGAGGAACATGATGGAATCCCAACATAGGAAACAAATGGAATCCATAAAACAGATGCAAACAGATTTCCAGGAGATTAC